AGTTATGACATCCTGCTGTGTGCAGACTGCCTGTAGTTGAAACCACGTTGCATAGATAAGTGAAAAGAATGACCTTTTTCAAGTTTCTTCCCTTGATAGTGATTGGTGCTCGCTGCTGTTGTTTGTTGGTGATCTTCATCACCTCCGTTTTCTTTACATTCACTTGTTGAAGTCCTGTGTCTGGTGCTTTCTCTGCCAATTTCGTGGTTTTCACCTCGCGTAGTTTATATGTTCCCTAGTTTTCTAGTCGGTGCTTTGTCTGGGAAAAGAAGGAATTTTGGGTGTAGAGCTACCAAATCTACCCCAGAAAATCAGTTCATTCACTACAGAAGCTCCAAAGCGCAACAAAAATCTGCCTGATGCTAAAAATTTATGCTTTTATATTATCCTTGGTTATTCAAGTTAGGTATGCATAAACTTCCCATGCTCTCTGTGTCGTATATTAATTGTTTCCTCTCTGATCAAGTTTTCGCCTTATTAAAATCGATTCACACTTCAGTGTTGATTACTGACTACAGATGGATGCAGCCACATCAATTAATTCACATGCTCTTATAATTATGTAGTGAGTGGTGATAACAGGTGAAGTAAAAATCTGAATCCTAGTAGAATTTAGACTAGCCTGCTCCGAAGTGCTACTCCGGTGTTCTACCATCTAAGGCACGAAACACAACTGATAACTAGGTTACTATTTGGCTATAATTTACCTTGTACCTGCATGTACAGAAAGACTTGGTGCGCACTCCACGACAAGTATTTCCAGTAGATTACTGCAAACTTTAGTCGATAATTGCCTTTACTGGCTGCATAGTAAAGATTAGATGGCCAGAAAGGATTATCATCAAGCAACTCTGACAACCAACTGACCAATAAATATACAGAAGAAAATAAAGATGAATTGGACACACGTTGAGGAGAGACTTTTGAATGAAGTCACGGGTTAACGCCTAGAATGGAACACGAATGAGAAACGACAAGTAAAGCTTTCGAAAGTAGTATTAAGGAGATCGTATGAAGAGGATTGTACAGAATAGAGTGAAATAGCGGTATGCTGCTGAAGCTCTATGTGTCACTCGGAACTCAAAGGTATTATAATATGTAGTAAGTAATACTACTGTGTTTAACAGATGTTTATGTAACTGTACATTGTTGATTTTAGCATAGAATTGAATCACACGTCATTGACATCTGATGCTACTCAGAATAAAGGTAGACCTAACCACTGTGCGTCGGTGGCACAGCGTAAAGACAGCGTAAAAGAATTAAAAAATATTCGCAGAAAAATGACAAAAGAATTGTAAGAATATTGAACAGGATATCTAGCCAGTTAATAGTCACATTTAGGAGGGATAAGGGTTGGGAATAGATAAGCTATGGGTTATGGTCAGTTTAGGGGAAGATTAGGGTTGAGTTAGTGACCCAGACTTTGTTTTTGAGAGCAGTTGGTCGTTTCAGGGTTATCGGTGTGTTTGTTCCCCTTGGATAGCTATTCTCCAACTTTTTGACTACAATGCACTGGGGAAAATTTTCAAATGACTTTCAGGCGACCGGTGTGCATTCCTCGGAGTAGAAGGGAAAAATATCATATGGGATTAGTCTATGCTTCACACTGAACACCACTGCGTCAAATGTTATACTATAGATTGTTATATAACCTAAAGATCATGGAGGAGTAAAAACATTGTGCAATAAAATACGTTGAGAATTCCGTACATTATGTAATCATTTTGTCCTGAATAAAGGTGTTATTATTATTATTGTTCCGTGATTTTTCTACATGCGATGAGACCAAGGATGAATTATTGTATCTTCTTACATCCATCTAATGTTTGTGAATTTTTTCACGAACCTACCGAGTAATTATTCATATGAAACAGCTTTAATAATGAGAATTTGGTTTTCATTTATATGAATTCTTTTTATACATAGTCTATCAACAAGGATGCTAGACATGATTTGACCCTGACTTGTTGATTTTTGTGTGTGTGTGTGTGTGTTAAACTACACGTCTGTTCAAATTATGTCTGGAATTCTAATAAAATATGTAGGTCAAATTTCGATATCTTTAAGATTTTCATTCATACTGTCACTACCATGGACAACTGTGTCTATTTGATGATATTGATAAAGTATGCTGGTTTCTTTGTAATAAATGAAATAAATGTGTGGTTGTTCATTTCATTGTCATTAACAGAACACTTAGAATGATGATGTTTATAATAAATGCGTCGTATATAAATATGCCGTATATACTACTGATTGACATAAGTAGTTGTACTCCACTTGCATGAACTAGTAGTGTTTGTTATCCACATCATCAAAGCAATCTAAACACCCAAAGGCTATTTCAATCGTTTTGGACTGACCACATCAGCTGTGTATCTGGTCAGATTCAGTACAGGCAGACGAATTCATTCAAACCAACCGATTTCCGACTGGGTATTTGGGTGAATTGGTAATACGTTAAATCAAATTTGTGACTTGTAATTTACACAGTTCGTAGTGAACTACTTGACTTTTGGTTTATGAAATCTTCGACAGTTAGTTTAAGCTACTTAGAGAGGTGTAGGCCTCCTTGATCGGGGTTTTAGGAATGCTAAGAACTAGTACCTGAAGACTGTTTGTGATATGTCTTCAAATCATTCTTAGTGGCGTAGCCGCATCCACTCTTTAATATCTGCTATATCCGCTGAGACTCCATTGTTATTTCATGTTACTCTTCTTTCGCCCTCATATTTGTGCTTATTATGGTTCTTTTGAATGTATGTTTTTTCTCTATTTTGTCTTCCTTTGTGTGGTACGTGCACTGATGCATTTTTGTGCAAAATTCTATGTTGAAAGTAGTCGGTCAGTGATTGTTATTTGTAATATCATGCAGATCACATATTTTGATCCAAATGATTTCCGTTTCCACAGGAAAATGGTGAAATTTCACCTCGAACTGTGCAGGACAGCGTTTAACATCCCAAATCATGTATCGAATGGAGATAATAATTGAAACAGTTGAAATTATATCGGAAACTGTTCAAAAGTGAAAGTTTTATGAATACATTGATATCCAGAAGTGTACATTATGTGGTTTATTAAACTTCAAGAATCATCTACAATATATCACGTATCGATTCAATTATGCAACTCGAAAACAACATCCTTGATCCTGTGATAAGTCAACTACAACTGTATAAGAGATATGTAGATGATACATTTATGATTTGTGATGAAAAATTTGATTTAGTCTATCTCCTCAAGACCTTCAATACGGTACACCCATCAATAAAATTCACCTTAGAACGTGAATCTGACATGCCATTTTCATTCATGCATGTGCTACTTACCAGAGGACAAGACTGCACGATCCAAAGATCAGTATGTATCGCAAGCCAACATGGATGGGACAGTTTATCAACTGCCAGATCTTCCTGTCACTGATCGGAAAGCAAAACCTAGTACGTACATTAAGTTCAAGGATTACAAAAATCTGATCGAGAGACACGATAGAGAAAGAATTAAATTCCTTACGTGAAATCCTAGTAGAGAAAGGGTATCCACCGAGTTTCATAGACAAAAAAATGAACGAAGGTCCTGGTTTCGAATCCCAGTGCGTGCGTACTGCCAATGACTCCCAAACTAGGATGAATCAGCAGCTGTCCAGTACTCCCTGGTTTTCAATGGTTCTCTAACTGATATCAATCCGTGATCAACTCGTGAAAACATAACAAACCCTTACAAACCAAACTATAGAAAATTACGACTTTGACGAAGAAAACTCTCTTCATGAACCTGGAATTCACAGGTAGCATAGAAGTAGAAATTCTTAAAAAGCACCTTTACAGACATTTCAGTCGGCCACCTTGCGTATCAAATTCTCCAGCAAAATGTTAATCCAGTCAAACGTTAAGGATAAGATACCGTTTTTGGCCATTTCTCAATGTGTATTTATCAGTTTACTTGTTCGTGTGGAGCTAAGTCTATCGTTGGTACACAGCGTCAAGTCAGCAAACGTATTCTGGAAGACTGGCTAGCTAGAAGGGAAAAGAAGAATACCAGCAACTCTACCCTTGAACACCTTGTCAATCCTAAACATCTAGCAGCGCCGCATGACTGCTAAAAAAAGTTCCTCACTATCTCATGGAAGGACTTTGAATAAGCCATCTATATTCGAATAACTGGCTATTCGATATCTGAAAGCGGACCTCTGCGTTCAAAAACACTACATACGTTTACTCGCCCTACCTTGGCTACAGTAACGTTTTTACTGTAAGTTTATTATTATTCTCATCATCCTTATTTTATTATCATTGTATTACTGTTTATTAATAAATAACATTGCATTTTCATACAGATTTTATAAAAACACTTTATCGTCTTTCCGATAGTTCTTGTTCACTCTACACAATCGTATTAATAAGTCATTTTCTCACACTTATTCAATCGTCCCAACTTCTGCTCCGTTTCTAACTTCCAACTAGTCACCCCTCCTAGACTACACCTTTCATTATATACCACGTTTTGGAGGAAAAATCTCACCAGTATCTGATTGGTCTTAGGAATTCTTTATTAAATATAATTACGATTGAACAACTTATGAAAAATTAATCGTCGGAAAGAAAATTTCCTTCGCTATTTACATCATTTTTTCTTTTGATTGATTTATGTGGTTTTGTAGTGGTAGGCGATTCCCCAAAGTTATTGATTTGCTGCAATCTTCACTCAACAATGAGTGCTGAACTCAACTGTTTAAGTCGAATCACTAAGCTGAAGGTTTGTGTTCTATCATCTACGCTATTTGACACGCTATTGTATTGCGTCCTGTCGTTCGTTCACGATCTCTAGCTAAGTTAAGTAATCAGTATCTCTCAGTGTTTCTGATCCCGTAATATATATCGTATTTTAGACGATCACTTTGATGTTTTGATTTGTTTCTGGTCTCAGAAGTACAAGTACTTTAGGAGTCACACGACAGGATATTGCATTAATTTACAGTTATAATGCTAGATCTTTGTCACGAGGTAACTGCTTAACTACTGACCAGTGCCCACTTAACTGGTAAAGCAGAACACGCGATAATCAGCGGTAAAACCAGAATCATTTATTTATGACAAAAGTGACTGTATTTATACAAAAATAAGGTAGACTGGAAATCAACCAATCCGGTTGAGAGTTTGGAATTGTGCAAGCGTCCAATCAGAAAGCAGAAACAAATGCATGTCAACGACACGCTAATAACTTGATAATTGCATGTGTTTTGCCTCTTCCTAACACCTCCCCTTTTAAGATAGGGCTACCGGTAGCTTTTGTATCGCGGAATCACTTGTAGGTACTTTGGCGGTCTTGGTTGTCGTTGTGATCTCCTTGGCTGCTGGGACACTTTGCCTTTGTTTCGACTATTTTGGCCATGTGACGTTTTCGGATCCGTCGTATCTATCAATAGCTCAAATTGTACGTCGGCGGACTTGGAATCGTTCAACTGTTTACCAACTAGTCTATTTCTTATTTGATTGGCATGCCTGACCCAAATAAGGTCTCCAACCTTGACCTTGTAAATGACTTGGCCTTTTCTTCCAACGATCACTCCAGAAACCCATGGGCGATCTCTCCGTATGTAATCACGAACCAGTACCGACTGACCAACCATGAAACTTCTTTGCTTGGTGCCATGACGTCTATTGAACCAAAATTCACTATTTCGACCACATTTGCTCCGTCTTGATGGGATCGGGATAATTGTATCCAAAGTAGTACGTAATCTTCTTCCAAACATAACTTCTGCGGGAGATGTTTGATTTGGGCATGATGGGTTGGTTGTGGTTCGATAAATGAAGAGGAAATTGTGCAATACATCCTCTATCGATCCCTCCCCGTTTGACTTCTGAAGTGCGCGCTTGAGTGTATCAACAAAACGCTCTGCTTGTCCATTTGACTGAGGATGGTAAGGCGGGCTGCGAATATGCTGAACACCTAGCCGCTCACAAAACTGTTTGAATTGTTCAGCTGTAAACTGAGGTCCGTTATCGGAAACGATGATCTCTGGAACACCAAATCTGCTGAAAAGCTGAACCAACTTATTTAATGTTATCGTCACTGTGGTATTTTGCATAATGAAAACCTCCGGCCACTTGGAATACGCGTCGATTACCACGAGAAACTGTTTGCCATTGATTGGGCCGGCAAAATCTATGTGGATTCTTGACCACGGTTTTCCTGGGTTGGGCCACGGCTGTAGGTCTGTCTTGATAGGCATTTTCAAAGCCTGAGCACAGCGAGAACATGAGCGAACCATCACTTCTAATTCACGATCGATATTTGGCCAGTAGACGTAACAGCGTGCCAACGATTTCATACGGCCAATACCAGGATGCGTAAAATGTAGTTGACTCATGACTTTTTGTTGGAGACTTCGAGGCACGACCACACGTTCGCCAAACATAATGCAGTCATTGACCAGGGATAACGAATGTCGTCGTTGATAGAACTGTTTTAAATCTGGACAATCAATACGCGAGGGCCAGCCACAACGCAGATACTGTTGAACTGACTGTAATGTCGGGTCACGCTGCGTCTCTCGTTGAACCATGTCGGCTGAGACAGGTAAAGTGTTTATTGCCGTCATCAATACGTGGCACACGTCTTCATCGACAGAAACGCCGGCGATCACAGCGTCCTCCTTTGCGGGCTTGTTATAGCTGAGTAAACGCGAGAGGACATCTGCATTCCCGAAATCTTTTGTAGATTTGTACTTGATCTGAAAGTCGTATCCTAGTAGCATAGTCGCCCATCGTTGGAGTCGATTGGCTGTATAGACTGGAATACCTTTCTTGGAGCCAAAAATCGATAATAGTGGTTTGTGATCAGTAAAAAGTGTGAACTTTCGGCCAAGCAGCATTTTGTGGAACTTTTGAATCCCAAACACGAGCGCTAATCCTTCCTTTTCGACCTGACTGTAATTCTGCTCTACCTTTGTCAAGGTTCGCGATGCATATGCTATTGGCTTTTCAACACCGTCTGGAAACACATGTGAAATGACAGCGCCAATACCATAGTTGGACGCATCTGCAGCTAATGTTATATCCAGCTTTGGATTGTAATGTGTTAACAGCAGGTCAGACTGGAGTAATTTCTTGACCTTGATGAAAGCTTGTTGGCATTCTTCTGACCAGTTCCATTTAGCATTCTTCATGAGCAACTGATTCATTGGGGCCCTGAGACGATGTAAATCTGGCAGGAACGCACTATAGTAACTGATCATCCCCAGGAAGGACTGCAACGTACTGAGATTATTAGGGGCAGGCATCTGTTGAATTGCTGACACACTGGAGGGGTCGGGTTTGCGACCATCTTTGTCAAAAATGAATCCCAGGTACTTCACTGAAGTCATGAAAAAATTGCACTTATCCGGACGTAAATGGAAACCGGAATCACTGAGTATTGTCAGGACTTTATCCAACCGATTGAAGAGTTCGAATTGAGTTTCTCCTGTGACTATGATATCATCGAGGTAAACGGCCACTCCCGATACACCAGCTAATATTGCATCCATTATCTGTTGGAATATAGCAGGAGCAGGTTTAACACCATATGGAAGTCGCTGGAACTGATACAGTCCTTTGTGAGTGTTGATTGTCAGAAGCTCTTTAGAATCATCTTCGACCTCGATCTGTAGGTATGCCTCAGCTAGATCAAGTTTACTGAAGTATTTACCGCCATTCAGTTTGACAAATAGATCTTGCGGTACTGGTAGTGGATACGGTTGATCTTCAAGGGCATTATTGAGTCCTGTTGAGAAATCAGCACAAAGTCTGATGGTACCGTTTGCTTTCTTGACAACCACTATGGGGGCTGCCCAGGATGAGTAATCGACTGGCTTGATTACGTTCAACTTTTCTAAACGATCCAGCTCTGCATCAAGGGACGATAATGCGGCATACGGTACTGGGCGTTTTGGTCTAAAAACTGGTTTGGCATCAGGTTTGAGGTATAGTCTGGCTTTTTGTACGGTACAGCAACCCAAAGACTCTTGAAAAACGGCAGCGTGTTTGGTGCGAAGATGACTGATGAACTTTGCGGTCGAGTTCGGATGCATCAACATGTTGGTAGGACTATCTGAGCACTGTACATTGGAACAAACTGAGTTCAGTGGGACATCCCAGAGTTTCATCTTTTCGATCCAGTCAATACCAAGCAAGTTCAAATCATGACGATTGGTGATGTAGCATGTTCCTTGGAACGAGGTCGACCGGAAAGTTACGTCGCATTCAATCTGGCCAGATAATTTCATTACGTCACCCGACGCGTTTCTTGCAGTATGCTCCGTTCTCTGATAAGGTGGACACCCGAGTGCCCGCCACGTCTGGGGAGATATGATTGTGATATCAGAAGCAGTATCTAACTGTAGTCGAACTGGCTTCTGGTTGATAGAAAGTGTGACAAACTTTCTTTTTGACTCGAAGTCAACTTTGAAGGTAGCGAACATACTGCTGATTTGAGGTTTCGTCGACCGAGATCGAAACTTTCGTGACTGTGCCATCGTATTGTGAGATCGGATTGATCTAGGTTTCACTGGGGGACAAAATCCTTCCTTGTGACCATACTTGTTACAGATACTGCATTTATGTCTTTTATACGGGCAAAATTTACCAAAATGCCACGATCCACAAAACCAACAATTTGTGGGAGGCTTGTGTTTGACTTGCAGAGAATTGTTTGACTTGACAGCCTGAACAGAAGTAAATTCATGAACTTGACCGTCCTCAATCAACTTCGTGTCATGCTTTAGATTGATGATTCGCTGGCACTCAGCAGTTACCTCCTGTAAAGTCATGTCCGGTTTGCGTTCAATCTCTGCAAGGATTCGGGTACGAATATCACTGTCAACTGAAGATTTGAGACCGCAGACAAAGATCAGGCATTTAAACTGGTCATCCGTAAGTGATCGAATTTTCGATCGCTCGCATTCACGATTCACCTTACCAGCATAGGTGAGAATATCATCTCCTGGATCTTTGGATATCTTGAAACAATTGTAACGGATACTGAAGAGAGATAACTGTTCACCGAAAATATTGGTTAACGTTTGAACGGTTTCTTCAAAGTTGAGTTCTCTGGAGTTCTTTGGTAGAATATGATTGACATATTTGTTATGTTCGGCTGGACCAAGTTTCCGAAGGAGTAGTCTCACTTTGGCCGAATCATCTAGGTGAGCGCATTCAACCCGGAACAGATCTTCATAACGTCGAAACCAAGCTTCAAACGTCACGCCTGTTGAAGGTTCGAAATTGAACTCTACAATTGAACTCCCAATAGATTCGGTTTTCTCTGAGTTGGAACTGCCGAGATTTTGAATTGAAAACTGCTTTGTAAGTTTTTCAATCAAGCTGAGCTGGCAAGCTTCAAACTGTTGCTGTTGTTGATGAAGGAGAAGTTGCATTTGTTCAAATGAAATTGTCATTTGGAAGACAGGCTGGATGTACACTGGATGATCTGGTTTTTATTTGACTGTATTGAACTGCAATGGATTCGAAACCCCGTCGCCAATTGTTATGATGCTAGATCTTTGTCACGAGGTAACTGCTTAACTACTGACCAGTGCCCACTTAACTGGTAAAGCAGAACACGCGATAATCAGCGGTAAAACCAGAATCATTTATTATGACAAAAGTGACTGTATTTATACAAAAATAAGGTAGACTGGAAATCAACCAATCCGGTTGAGAGTTGGAATTGTGCAAGCGTCCAATCAGAAAGCAGATACAAACAACATCCCATCAACTCTTAAAGTGTTGTACAACATGAGTGATAGAAAAAAATATTCAGCTGTGTATGATATTTCATGAGGTTATCGGTTGCGACAGATTACCAAACTCCATTTCTATCAGTTTAATTGTTTAAGGTTTGAAAAGTGAAAAAAAGGAAATTGAGTATATGCAATCAACACATTCTGAGATGAGATTTCGCCTCTTTGGAAATCAGAAGTATTGGATTGATAACATGCAATCTAAAGGAATTTGTCCATTTAATAAGTTTGGATAATGTTGTTAGGAAACGAAGTTTATCTAGAAATTGTGATGCATTTGCTCAGTACATTTAGAACAGTCTGATCACACATTTACTTATCAAATTAATTTATTTGAAAAATAAAATGCAAATTAGAATAAGCAAAATGATGTGATTAGATTACGTCCCATCTTGTAGACCAAAAAACTCTGAGAATGAACCAATGAAAAACATATTATAGAAAGTGGAAATGTATTGGACATGCGCTGAGGAGACCCTCGAATGACATCGCGTGACAGGTAAAATTACGGGCGGAATCCGAGTGGAAATTGACGAGTCCGCTGACAACATGGAGGAGATAAGAGCTTATCAGCATTCGTGGGATCAACTAAAGATGATCATAGAGAATAGGACAAAGTGTTTTGATGAAGTCCTGTGTTTCCCGCGAAACCCTGGGAAACAATAATGGTACACCAATTTAACTGTGTATTAACACATACAAACGGAGGAGTAATCACGCTTTACTTGTGAAGGCGCGACAACATATGGCTAGATGGCTTGAAAAATAGCGGAACTGTGAAACCTAAGCAAACGCATTTAGCAGACTATTGACTTCATCTACAGCAAAACAAGCTCTTAATATAAATCACAACGGCTGATACTAAAGCGGATTTCAAGAATATCTGTAAAATCCGTCAGGGGCGTTTGCTGAAATACACTGAAGAGATAGCCGTCCATAAAATTAAGTCCCCACCCCCCTGTGTGTACAAAAACACGTTAATATCATTTTTATTCTACATTGGTAATATTTATCTGATTCTATTGACAAAAGTAGTGTTACTTGTTATCCGTCATATTCTTAGATTCCCTCTCA